ATCAGTCCATGCACAGAAAGCAGCTAGGGACATTTTTTAAAATCTTAGATTAATTCAGCTGTTAAAGTTGTGTGTTTTGTCAAAGAAATAAGGTTCAGAAAGTTCTTCATTTAGGATGTCAACAATAGGTTTGACCACGCAGGCATCATGAGAAACAAACACAGCAGTGGACAAATATTATAGTAATCAGAGAATGTGAATGACAAATTAGACGGCAGGTCCTGCAGAACATTTAAGAAAATCTGAAAACATTTTTTATATTTCATATCTGCTTCTGGGTTTTTAAGCCCAGTTTAGTATGGTTTAGTGTTAGATAAACATGGTTCTACTCTATCACTGCTTACATATGGAGACACGAAATTGATAAAATATAGTAAAGGTTTATCAGAGAAGTAAAAAATGTAACTGAATACATTAATGACTAATAACTAAAATGGAGCATTAAAAAAATGTAAAGCTTACTTTTTATTTGACTTACAATCTGTTTATCCCTTTTTTTACCATCAATTGACAAAAAAACAAACCTCCTATTTTGTCTGAATTCTGAGTGTACACATTTTATTCACTGTATATATAATATAATAATTTAATTCCCTACTACCTCATATATATGCCTCATGCAGCAATCCTAAGTGAGATAACCATGAGTGAATCTGAAAATTCATTTGTTACAGTTGTTCATACAGTATGTTGTTTATCATAACTACTCTAAAATATGCTTTGTTTTCAAATTTCAGGGCAGATGCATGAACTTCACCCGTACAAAGTCTCCCCCTCCTCACTACCCACACTACAACACCACCACCCATCTCCCATCTACAACCCTCCCAGCAGGAGTCCTCCTCCGCCGCAGGGCACCCTCCCACCGACCCCAGCAGCCGACCTCCATCATCTCATCGTCTCCTTCTCCACCCTTCCACCGCTGCCTCCGACACCTCCTCCCACCTCCACTACTCCTCTCCTTCCATCACACCCCCCCTTACACGCCACCTCCCACCGGGCTCTACCACCGTCCACCCTGCACATACCTGCCCCACCAGCGCTCCCACCGACCCCTCCACCCTCCACCTCCCCGAACGGTTCCCTGCCTCCTCCTCCTCTGGGACCTCCTCCGGTACGAGCACCTCCACCTGCCCGTGCACCGCCTCGCCCCGGCCTGTAGAGCTCTGGCAGCATACAGGAGAGAGTTTTAACAGGATTTAAAAAGGCAACTCATAGTCCCACCGGCAATCAGCACGACCATCCTTGATTGTACCTGCAAGCGGGGGCATGAGTGCCCCGTGCCACGCTCATTGGACTGTGGCCTTTCTGCCTTGTGAAGTGGAGCAGTGATGCCTTGTTTTCAGCTATTTGTCTACAGTGACTTTTGTACACATTTAGCCCGACAGTGCAGTTGCTCTGATGCTTGAATTCCACAGACATTCCCTACAAATGAGGTCATGCAGGCCGGCTCAAAAACATTTGCCTCCGTGGTCCTCAGAGATGCTTCTGGCCCTGTTGTCCCATCCATGAGCACACAGATTGGATGAATCTTGACAAACCCGATAAACAGCTTGTAATAATGCCTCTGTCTGGACAACAAGAAGCACAGTCTTGTTCAAAATAATCATGACACTAAAGTATGTGCCTGTGTAACATTCTTATCTTTCCTGATACGAGTTGTTCCACATGCAGCAGATTTGGAAGAATCTGAAAATCCTTGTTTTTGTACTCTTGAATGTTGAGCAATTGCATGCAATAGTGTTTGAGTCAGCAGTTTTGTTGTTTTTATAACATTTCTACCTTGTTTTATACAACATAAATACATTTTTATTTGTACTTTTATTGTGGAGTAGACAACAGTTTCTGAGATTTTTAAGGTTAGAAAAGCGTTGCTGATAAACACATGTACAGTAAGCTTATTGAAACAGCAATGCAACTTATGTGAACCTGTTTATGCAATGTTTGACTTCCATGCCATTTAAACCAGACTAATGTGAGTCATAGCTGGCCTATCATGCACATCAGAGTTAACAATAAATCAGGATTTAGACACTAAATTAACCCTATTATTATAACCGACCTGACCAAGATGACTGTAATCACTGCTATAGCTGCATTGTGCTCTGTCTATCAATATGTTGACAAACATATGTCAGAGTCAGGGAAACGCAATATGTGTAAATAATCATTTTGATATAACCATGTGTGTTCTGTGTGAGAGTGTGTGTGTGTCAGAAAGATTGAGAGAGACTACTATGTATTCAGACATCCAGTCTCACAGTAGACTGACCTGAGTCCGTATGCCAGTTTGATCAACTTAAACAAAAATAATCAGGTTGTTTTACACATGATGCTTTCAATTCCTCAAAGCACAGAACATGATAAAAGCATGGGTCATTTGACGTTTGGTGAAGGTTAATAAAAGATTAATATGAAACTGTAGTTAGAGGAGTCTCAGCAGAATGCAGTGTAGATTGCGAGCTCATCTTTAGAAACCAGAAAGGGTCTTTCAAAGAGTCTTACATAAATGTCATGGCAAAACTGATGAGACAGTATGTAATTTTCCAACAATACACCATGTAGACACCTATAGTTTCATTGAAAATGAAAGTAAACAATTTAAGTATACAATTGGAGTCCTTGTCTGTATTTTTCTTCAAATATAATCACTGACCTGTTAACCATTTTGATTTACCTCCTGTTACACCTGTGAAAACAGCCACTGAGCCTTCCTTTACTCTCTAAACTTTCATTGAAAGCCTGTAAAGACTTTAAGGGTTTACCTTCATATTTCCTTGACATCTATAGTTCTTCTACTTTACAAACTCTATAGAATATATCCCACATGTCGTTTTCTACAGCATATTAATATATAATGCTATTCTACATTCTAAAGTAAAACTTTTTATCCTCTTTTCTTTCTTCTAACAGTAAGTTAGACCACTGATATTTCCACTGGGGCGATTGGGTTCACACTGTGCAGAGTGGCTGTTTCTGCAAAACGCACCTCACTCACTCCATGTGATGGAAAAAAGACAGAGAAAGGAGTATGCAGAGCATGGCTAACTAATTCCAGATGTTCATATGTTGCATTATGTCACATGCACGAATGGAGTGAGCTATCTTGGAAAATATTAGACACCATCTAATCCTCAGGAAATGTGGAACGGCTGCAGGAAAGGTGTGCTAGTGCTAATTGTTGGTGACAAAATCTAGCAACAGCAGACAGGACAGAGTGGAATAACGAGCTATAGCTTCTGAATGTCTGAACTGAAAGTGACTTTGATTAAATTTTGAAGTTTTCTGTTGTCACTTGAAGTTGACAGTATGCAAGGAAAGTTTATATTGGGCTGTTTTCAGGGAATTTTCCATGTCAGACAAATTCAATGCAAGATGTCTTGAGTCATGTTGCCAGCTTTTGTTTCCACTCTGTCTGAACCATTACGGCAGATGTCTAACATATATTTATACAAACATTGCATCACAGATTATGACTGTTACACAGACTTCTCCCATATGATAAAAATTCAACCACAAAAGGCGCTTGTGTTATGCTGTCTCATTTAAAAAGATTTTGGGTGGAGGCCATCAGTTTGAACTGCAGTTTCTCCAGATTTTGTCAGCACTGTAAGTGTGGCCAACTTTGTGTTAAACCAACATTCACTGGTGCCTGGCCTACATACAGCATGTGTGGTAGATTTGATTATCAAAAACATCAACTTGTATTCTCGTGCACAGAAATCATTCAGTATTCAAACATAAATTCATGTGCTTATCTACTTAATTTTTTGGCATTATTGTAGTTTCAAGCTGTCAGTTTTACTTTCAAAGGGTCATCAGGAGCAAGCAAGGTCTAAAAAAAATACCAGGTGTGTCAGCTGATTGCATTAATTAGGCTGGTGACTGGTCACAGGCTTACACAATAAAATAAACAGTCAATGCTGTCAGCGTCATGAAAACAACTTCATTTCCTTAGAGCCGTTTAGACCATTGTTTAAGGTAAGTTCATATCTGGTAATTGCAAATGTTTCTGTAAGTGGTAGGATGTTCTAATTTTGAGACAGCTTTGGTAAATTATGTGTTTTTCTATATTGTCCATAGGTGAATGTCATTTCCATTAGGTTAAAAAGGAACTGGATGACTGCAGGACCTTCATAGTTAAGTGACCTCAATTATCCAACAGCAAGTTTAATTTTTACCAGATGACTGAATTCATGACAAGATGGGACAATCATGAAGATAATGAGATCCACTCAGAGCTAGAAATATTAACTTCACTTCAGCTTCGTATAAGAAAAACAGTATCCAGCCAAAAAGAAATTTGCCTTATTAAAAACTTCATTGCATGGATTCCCAAAAAAGGCTCAATGACATGGCTTAGAACATGTCAAAACAATGGAGGCATTGTTGGTGTTATTCGTTAAATCTGTGCGTTTCCTGTTGCAAAATGTCTGATTACACTGACCTCAATACACAGAATCACTTCAGAAAAGGTAGTTATTTACTTGGCAAAGCTTTATTCAAGCCATGTAACAAAATCACGGTGGTCACAACACATGCTGATAGTTTTTCAATCCCACTCAGACGCCATAAAGCAGCTGTGTTTGGTTTCCAGGTGAAGGATTTGGCTGCAGCACAGACATTACCTGAGAAGCTTCAAATCATGCCCTTTAACGATGAGAAACTACCCACAATGCTCGCCGTGGCTGGAGAATGGAGGCCGTCTTTGTCCAGGGCTGTGGCAGTCTTCTGTACTTCCTCTGCAGCCGCACTCGAAGCCATTATTGTACTTAACGACTGCAACGAAATCCTTCTGAACATTGCACTCGGTTTTACCAAGAGTTTAGTGTTTTGCCTGTCAACCATGCTGAGGCTGAATGCGTTTCTCAGGCTAACGCTGGCAGGTGTGCTCCTCTCACACGAGGAGCCTGACCAACATGGACACTCTCTCTGCTTCCCCTGGTCTTCATCACAGACCTTCACAACGAACAGCTGCACTCCTCTGCGCTGCGGAGGAGGCAGACCTGCAAACAGGTTAAAGTCGGTCCGGTCACTATTGCTCGCCGTGCCTGCCGTCTGCCGGTGTTCACTGTCGGTTTGCAAGACGATCTTGACCCTCATCAATGTGGCACAGTCGGCACTGTCAGCTCTGTGCCGGAACTCCAGAAACGGTGTCTCCACCATTATGACTTTATGTGGATGCATCAGACCATTAGTGTCCACCTTACAGATAGTGACTGGTTACTCTACACAGGTACTTGGAATTGTTTGGGATGTCTCATCGCTTATAAGCAGCACCTGAATGTCTCCTGCACCTGAACTCTTTGTATATAATGTACATAATCTAGATAAACTTGTAAAATTATTCCAAGTGTACATCTGACTATTTCTATTACCTGCTTATAAGTAGTGAAATATTTGCTGTATTTCTATTGCTTTTAAAATTCTAATAAAAGTGCAATATTTGTTGTATTTCTGCTACCTCTCTATTGACACATTTACTGACCAGTATAATCAAGCACAATATTTGGCATCATTTAATATTGAGGATGTGTAGGACTATGACAAGCATGTCCTGAACAACTGCACCTCTTCATCGAATGAGCGCAGGACACTTTAAGGGAAGTACTTGACACTTTATTGCATCAGTTCCACTAATAAATAGTGCCCCACACCCTCCAGTAACCAACAGATGTTGCTAGGATTCAGTGCAGCATCCTTTGTCAATGCCTCCAGTCAAGAAATCTAAATTCTCATGTATGTGGGTTACGAAAGTATCTGTAACATTATCCAGTTTTCAAACCCTTTTACTGGCTCGAGAAGCTCAATGTTGGGAGGGAAAAAAAGAGAAAAGTTAAGGCTTGATTGCAAAAGCAAAATTAATAAACCTAACATGTGATGGGACAAAAAGCAGCTCCTGATTCTTCACTACACAACTTTGTGTACAACATCGCTCTTTACTTGGCCTTCCAAACAAAGACCTTTGGATTCTCTCACATACACACACACTCATAGGCTTTCTATCTAAAACATCTACAGTCTGACATACTGCCATAAAACCCCCTATATGCCCCATTTAAGGCCTTGAAGCATCTACCAGCATCAGTATATGTTTAGATACAAAAACAATATAGGATGAACATATAAAATGTCTACATTTTGGTTTACAACTGCCAAACCCAATAAGATTTTTGGTTTGACAGGACATTTCAAGAGACTGTAACATTCACATTTCAAATCAAAGAGTAACTTCGATAATAAACTTTAAGAAAATGAAACGTGACAAAAAAAAAAAAAAATGCATCAAATGGTCCCAGTATTGCAGCTATGTCATGGTGGAAGGCCATGGGCTGCTAACTGGGTGCAACTTCTACTTCAGGTTAGTAACTTCATCTTGCTTGATTTACTTCAGCTTTCAGTTTAAATTTAAATGTAAAGCAGAGACCTGTTATAAGCACTTAAGTCTCTTTTGAACAGTGAGGCAACAGAGTTGAAAATAATCAAACACTAAATTGTGCACAAATAGCTTTAGAGTATAATGTTCAGAGAAGAATAAATGCAGAAATTGTCTATGGCAACAAAAGGTCACACTGGCCCAGTAAATGAGGCTTATTCTCGCCGACCGAGACAAGGGTCTGAAGTCCGAAACACTAGGTTTAAGACAAGAACAAACTTTTGCAACCTACCCAAGAACATTTTAGACAGTGTATTAACGCACTTTTCTGTGATCGGATTTGTGATGCTGCTTCTGCTAGAAGTTATGCGTCCTCAGACTAAAGTCCAAGAGAGAAACGCTGCAATTATGAAGTGGTGACCTGCGGCTTGGAATGATTTAAGACTGTCGCTTACTTCAACTGTGGAGTGAAGATGCTTCAGATGATTAGCTGCCAAAAAGAAAAATAACCCAACTACAAATCATTGCAGTAGAGAAGAAAAAAAAGAGCCAGTACGGTCTTTAAAACCTAACTTCTGTCAGTCTACTGCTCCAAGATGCTCCCAGTGAGACTAATCAGCGCAAATAAACATGGAGGGTTTTGAGCGTGAAAGTGAATAAACCCTAATGGTCACTGTCCGTTGCTACGGCTTCACAAACCCAGAGAGTAATGGAGATAAAGAGTCAGTGCTAGCCCAGACCTGCCACCACAAACACCACAACTCCAACAAGAATATGACAATGACACCAAAGAAAAAATAACGGTGATATACAGATGATATACAACAGTGAGATAAACAACGGTTGAGTGAAAGATTGCATTAAAAAACAGCCATGACACAAGACACAAACGAGACAGTTTTCTCTTGGTTTCTGCATACAGACGCTCCCTCGCCGCATCCATGTGTGTTTGAATACGTGTCCGCCAGGCTTTTGTTGTTAGGTGATGAATGTGGTGGTGTCGCTCACTCTACTGTCACAGACTTGGCCAGGTTTCTTGGACAGTCCACCTGTGTTCAAACAGAAGAGGTCATTTACTACATGACCATATAAAATGGACAATAAGTAATACACACCTTCTGATGTTGACTTAATGCTACTGTCAAACTATCAAGTACGTTTACCAAAATCATAAAGAACTTTTATGTGCCAAATGTAGCATTTATTTTATGTCCAAAACCAGCATCAACACTGGCTATATTTATATGGCGTACTTCAGTTTAGCTGTTTACTTTGATCTCTGACATCCTGTAAGACTTCTTGTATACTCTTATGACTATTTTCCACACATGTGAACACTGGCATACTGGTGATGCTGAAGGTTTTTAAGTTAGAGACTGCGGCTGCAAATGGTGGAGATGTGAGATTTGAGAAACTGATATTTTACTGCATTTGCGTCTTAAGTGATAGATGAGGTTTTAAATCTCATCTGGCTAAACAGTCATGTTCAGTTACAGCTGAGCCTGATGGACCAGCACTTACGTCATAGCCTCGGAGGACCGCCAGGTGGAAGGACAGCAGCTGCAGTGGGATGACGCTCAGGATGCCCTGCAGGCAGTCTACACAGTGAGGCACTTTGATGGTGCGGCTGGAGTTCTTGATGGTCTCGTAGTCATCTTTGTCACAGATTACAATGGGGCGGCCCTGTAAATCAAGCAGATCATCTGTCAATGTGATGCTAAACCTCGATAAGAGTTGCAAAAAAGGTTAATCTAAAAGATCCCCCCCCAAATTTCCCCATCAGTTGATTTTCACACCCACATGTGCTGTAGATTACTGCATTGCAATGATGTCACACTGAGGTGAGCCCCTCCTTTGTATTTACTGAGGTGAAGGTCAGAGGCGTGGCACAGATAAGACTGTGAAAATGAGCTTAACATGCACAACGTGCTGTGGTAAAACGTTCAGTGTGTGTGTGTGTGTGTGTGTGTGTGTGTGTGTGTGTGTGTGTGTGTGTGTGTGTGTGTGTGTGTGTGTGTGTGTGTGTGTGGTGTGTGTGTGTGTGTGTGTCTCTCACCTGGCGGGCAAAAACTTGCTGCAGGGCATTCTGACATTTGCTGTAGGTGTGGTCTCTCATGATGATCATGATGACCGGCATGAGTTTATCCACCAGGGCCAGTGGGCCGTGTTTCAGCTCGCCAGCCAGGATGCCCTCTGAATGCATGTATGTGATTTCCTTGATTTTCTACACAGGATAAGAAAATCTAAGCTAAGTTTTTTGTCATTGCAGCTTACACCTCAGTCCATATCTGTACTTACACTGCTTTTCTAAAAGTTGCTGTGCTCAAGTGTTTTACTTTTCAAAAAGGAGGTTAGAGACAATTATCTATCATATCACCCACTGCCGAAATCCCATCTTTTTGGTGTCTTAAGAGTAAAAAGTGTAAAATAAATATATATATAAAGTATATATACTTTTCTCATTACTGACTCACATCAGAAGAATCAATAAGCTGGGAGAAATAAGGATGTACTTGCTCACCAGTGCTCCTTCCAGGCAGGTAGCATAATGGTAGCCTCTGCCCATGATCAGTACACTCTTCTGCTGGTACAGCTCTTCTGCCAACTTCTGGATCTCATCATCCAAACTGAGGACCTCCTTAATCAGATCTAACAAAGACGTAACAGAAAACCAGATATGATTAAAACTTCACTAAAAATGTTGGGCAGGGACATTTTACCATTAGGGACATGCCATCATATGCTTTAGATCCAGAGAAGCATGAATGCGCTTACAGCTGACAGCTGGTCCTTCATCCCTCCCTCTCTCTTGCTCTCCCTCTCATCACATACTTCATCTTCCAAGAGGATTGTTTGAACAAACATTAGAAGTCAATGTACTTTGGATGTACTTGACATGTGACTGGAGTGCTGGTTTCATATCCCTATACATTTTCTCTCATGTGATCAGACTTCCTTGGCTGAACAAGAATACTCGTGGCTTGATTTACCTGGAAGCACTCTCAGACCCTGGATTATCTCACGGCGTCTCGGCTGCATGGAAATCCTGTCGTCACACATCAAGAGTGCAAACATGATCAGGGCAACAAACTGGCTGGTGTAGGCCTGCAGAGCAAAAAGTCAGAAACGCTGAGTGTTATAAATCTATATAGCACTATATTGAGAGGTGGGACTATACAATGACTGAGTCACCTTTTTATAGTTCATCTCCCTGTTTTCACAGTGAACTGTCTCCAGCTAATAATCTGCACCAGATGAGAAATGGAAGGAGGAGAGGTGGGTTTCAGTGCATGCCAAGCAGCATTAAAAGCTAGCGCTTCTCATCCTGGAAAACTTGGTGAACACACAACTCCACATCAGAGATCACAGCACACAACCCTAGCACATCTGAGACTTCATGCCTGCCGTCATCACCGCCCACTCACTCTCTCTCTGTGTTCCTTCATCTCACGTTTGGAGGCCTTCCATGCCCATTTGGGAGATTTAATCAGTGCTCGGGTGAAGCCAAGCCATTTCACGGGACCCTCTAGACTCAGAAATGCCAGTGTCTAAAGCCAAGAAAATAGCTGTAAAACATTTATACCGCCCACCCCTCCCCCTACAGCACGCTAACCACAGTCCCTCAGAACTCTTGACAGTGTGCGCTGTTTGGTCAGATGTGGCAACATATTCAATCCACATAGTAAACTGTGGTGTTTTTCTGTGTTCACGTCACCAACTTCTTTTTGTGGTTTTCGTGCAGAATATGCCAACTGTTACCCTTCAAAAAAGGTGACCACCCTTACATACAGCTGACACGTGAATGGATTTCCCTCACGCAAAAAACAGTTCAGGATGAGAAAACAAACTTTGTAACCCTGTAAATTCCCAATGGATACAGTTATGTAATCCAGAAAGGCAGTCCTTATTCCATTCTCTGTCAGTTGACCTGCCAGAAGGATTTGCCTTTTGTTAACATCAAAGTATTTTGTACACGTCTCAACTTATTCCATAAATCTTATCATAAATATGATCACAGTAAATGGAAAAGCCCCCCCCCCCCCTTCCAGTTCATACAAAAACAACCTCAAATGCATGAAAGAAAAAAAAAAAGAAAAAGAAATAAAGCCCAAGTAGATGAATTTGGAGTCATTTAGCAGTTGGGTGCGATACATGTTCTCCGGTGATTTGATGAGCTAGGTTGTGCAGCATTTAGTTGAGCTGGGTGTGGGTGTGTGGCCCAGCCAGCCAAGCAGTAAATGATGGCGTCGCCGAGGCGTGCTCAGGGGCTTTGGAGCAGCGCTAGAGTCGCTGAGCCAAGCCCAAGGGCTGGGCCAGGGAGGGACTTGCTCCCATCTCTCTCCCCACTACTTCTTTGCTCTGCATCTGAAGCCAAACCGGGAGTGAGGTGGTGGTGGTGGTGGGGGGGGGGGGGGCAAAAAAACCCAAAGAATCCTAGCTTTACATGAATTGAGATGAGAATATCAGTCCTCTCCCCGTGGGATCAGAGAGGAGGAAGATGTCAGCTTCCAAGAGGAGAAGCCAGACTCACAATGGAGTTTTCATCTGGGTTTCATTCAGGGTCAGTGGGTGTTGGGTTCATCTGATGTGAGGTGCACTTTCTAACTAAAATGTGGCAGTTCCTATGGACATGTGCTTGAGACAAAAGAAATTATACATTTTAATCTCAATTGAGCAATATATGTAATGAGGCTTGGTGAGCAGTATCTGGTAGTTTATAGTAATCTCTGTTAGTGGTTTACATCCACCTGATTTGTCACCAACTGGTCGGTCTTGTCCATAAGTATTGACAAACATCCTCAAGTGAAAGTTATAAAACTGGCAGGTGTAGGTCAATTAAAACTAAGGCTGCAACTGACGATTATTTTCTAACAGCGTGTTCAGACCAAGTCAGGCACGTGCTGATTAGCTGCAGGGTTGTGCAGCAGTATGGGTATGTTTATTTGTGCTTTAGAACTTAACCGCCAGAATCAGAAGATAATTTCTCATCTTATTCACCAGCTGTCTCGCTACCAGCGCTTTCCCTCCTCATTCACACTCTAGGTCGCTCGACCACCGCTGTCGCCATCTCTCGCTCAAACACAAACCAAACAAAGCTTCTTGGTATTGCTAATTTACTTTGTAGACTGCAAGCCTGCTGGGTACAAGAAATAAACCAGGTGACATCATAGTTTGGTCCATGATTTGGATAGCGCCTTGTTTCAGTGGTATTTCAAGCTGACTGTAGACCACTGTGGCCGGATTGGCCACTGCAACGTGATGTCGGGTTGTGTTTCTCCAAAAGTTGATTCGGTTTCATCTTTTCCGCAGCAGGTCGCTGCGTTTTCCCCCCCCTTCTACTTTGTCTGCGGCCCCCACTGCCACAGCCTAAACACACCACCCACATTCAAACTGAATGGCAAGACCTGCGTTTATGAGACCAAGGCTGAATTCAGACCAAAAAGATATTAAATTTCATATCACAGAAGACATAAAACCAGCAAATTAACATTTGAGCAGCTGGAGCCAATCAGTTTTGGCATTTTTTTCCCCATTAAAAACTGACCAACTGATCAATTGCCCATCAAATTTGTTGCAGATAAAACAAAGTCCGGATTATTGTGAATTACTGTCATAATTTCAGGCAAGAGAATTATTTAAATATTTTATAGCAGCAGCCTGGGAAGAAGGAAATTTTGTATGACCTACACCTTATGTGAAAAAACATGGTTGTAGATACAGTAGATATTTCCCAGATATTCCAGCTGACTGAATACATGAGACATTGTGTGATAAATGAGTCTTATGATTAACACATTAGGGGGTTACCTTGGTGCTGGCTACTCCGATCTCAGGCCCGGCGTTGATGTGGACTCCGCAGTCTGTCTCCCTAGAGATGGAGCTGCCCACTGTGTTGGTGATGCCCACAGTCAGAGCTCCTCTCTCTTTACAGTAGCGCAGGGCCATGAGGCTGTCAGCAGTCTCCCCTGGAGGATTAGCACAAATGGAAAAACATAACAGTTTAGGCAACAGTTCTGACAATAAAATTATGATGATTTATTAGTTTGCAAGGAAATGATCTAAAACAGCTTCACAGAAAAACCACATGTATTTTGCAAAAAAGTAAATACCACCAAAAAAAAAAAAAAAAAACTCCCTCCCCACACATTCAGAAAACTCCACTGTGCTGTACAAGTTTGACTTAACAATTTGCTAACACCCAAGCTGAGCTCAAGAAAAGAAATCAGTAAGAACCAGAGTGGCTCCCAGGGACGGAAAGTGGAGGACATGGGGGAATGTGCACTAGATCAAGTCCAGATGGCACCGGCGTCCCCACCTGACTGGCTGATAAAGAAGCAGACGTCGTCTCGGAAGACGGGAGTGTTCCTGTCCAGGAAGTCGCTGGCCAGTTCCACCATGACAGGCAGCTCGGTTAGCTCCTCCAGGACCTGGCGGGTCTGTGAAAGCAAAAGAGCGCTGCTCAGCATCATTCTGTTAAAACAAGCCAGTCGAGCTCAGAGCAGAGAACACACCAGCACACAAACCTCATACCTGTGTCTCCACAATACAGACGTTTTTTAGTGTGATGGCAATACAGACATGTTTCCATAATGCGCATTTGATCAAAGAAGAAAAAGCAGTTTGTTAGTAATAGTGGCTACTCACTGCCACACCGGCATGGTAGCTGGTGCCACAGGCAATAAGGATAAGTCGCCGACACCTCTGGATCTCTTTGATGTGGTCCTTCAGTCCACCCAGGATCACTGAAAAAGCAAACCAAACACACAACCCATCATTATTTTCCACGTCATTAACAATCAAACAAAAAAAAAAAAAGGGAATGCTGAGACAGAAGATTTATTTTAACATGTACGTAGCTCTGTTTAGCTGCCATTTGAGCAAAATGCATAAAGAGGCAGAATAGAAAATAGTGTCCTCATAAGTTGTGTTATTACGCCAATGCTTCACTGAGAAAAATAATTAGACCCAACTCTAACCTGTGTTGTTGTCAAAGTTGATCCTCCCTCTCATGGTGTTGACCACAGACTCTGGCTGCTCAAAGATCTCCTTCTGCATGAAGGCACTGAAGTTGCCTGTGGTGGGAGGATCAGAAAAGAGGGGAACATTTCCAACATTAGAAAAACAATAAAAACCCCCAACTAAATGTCTCTTAAGAACATGGTGATGGACTTTTTATAAAGTGTGAGCCCACATGAGGCTGTCTGAGAAAGGTCATGTTGACACACATGAAGTACCTGTAAATGCAAACCACAGCCTCCCAAAGGATTAAGAAAACTCTTTACAATGTTTTAGTTTGTTTTTGTTGCTTTGTCAACATATTCAGAGCCACAGTGCAAATCACAGCTTAAATGAAGGACAACAAAACATGAGACATCAAGGAGATAGTGTTTTTCCATCAATAATAAACCTTGGCACTGAAATATGCGAGCATTTGTCAGCCTGCCTCTGACAGCAATTTGGGTCAAGCAAATTAGGTTATTCAGCAGAAAGGCTCCAGAAACTGAAAGGGAGGAGAGTGGCTGAGTAATGACAGGACCACAAAGGAATGTCAATACCGGCCAAGATCAGTTTACCTCTGCCCTCTGCTGGATCACTGAGGAACAGTCGGTGGGAAAGGAGGAAATACAAAAATTCATACTTAAAATTAAATAGTTTAAAAAATAAAAATAAAAGAGAGAAGCAATTTAAAGCCATCACTTTGGGCTCTGCACACTTGCGATGGGCGATTTAACTACTTTGACATTTCACAAACTAAATGATTAAATCGAGAAAATATTCAGCAGATTAAATAATACTATAATTAGTGAAATAATGAAAATGCAGCCATAATCCCCATTAAGGGAGTAGTTTGGTTGGCCTTTTGGGAAATGTGTTATTCGCTTGATTGATGACAGCAGATCATTACGTATCCCACGTCTGGACTATAAATATGAAGCTGGAACAAGCAGCCAATTAATTTAGCTTGGCATAAAGACTATCCTGAAGAAATAACCTGGCACACAGCCTCCCTTTAAAAAAAAGGCAATTTGTAAATTTTGTGATGAAAAATAGTTTTTGTGCAATTAAAACAACAAGATGTTGTTGCAATGTTATATGAGATTGGAGACACGGAATTTAATCTTCTCATACAACTCGACAACGACAGCTTTATAAAAAGAGACAACTCTGTTCAACTGATGTAAATACTAAATAAAGTTTTTACAATTTAAATTTCAGATCATGTGTCAATCAAAGCAATAAATGCTTCACTGTCTTCCTAAACACAAACTGAAATGTGTGTCACCTCAGGCACAGAGGGGGAAGTGAGGGTCATAGTTCCACAACTGAGATGTCATCTGAATGCTTTCTTAAAACTGATAACTAATCCAGCAGGGTTGTAACTACCTGGATGATGAAAAGATTGGCCTATGGGCAGGTTGTTAAAAAGCCTGTTCAGCTATTTAAGCAGCCAGTCTCCCATTAATACTCACAATAATAACAACAGGGTTTAGGACAAAATTACAAGGCAGTGTCCCAATGATTTACTTGCAAACAGGGCTTAGAGACATGTATGGTGGGGGTAGACAGAACAAAGGCTGACATACCACCTACCCTTCATGATCTGCTGGAGCTCCATTTGCAGGGTCTGGATGGCGCGGGCTGGATAGTCTCCAGCTGTACGCTTTATCCTGTGGATGGACAGGCGGCCTTCCATCACGGCGGCCACGTCGTCGTCCTCCAGGAAGATCACCCGGTTTGTGTGCTCGATCACAGCGCTGAGAAAGAGACGGACCAAAAAAAACGACATCAAAACTTTTGCACTCCACAGATAAAGCGGAGATGCATGGACATGGAGAACCTTAAAGGCGGTGTAGAAAAGGTTGATGCAAAGACACAGGCATCTGCTTACCTTGCATCAGAGGCAAAGTAGTATTCCACAGCCTTCTCATCCACAGGGAACAGACAGGTGTCCTGGTCTGCCCTGGGTAGGGCACTGCAGCCCTTTTTGTCTTTAGCAGCTGAGTAGAAGAAAAGAAAAACTGGGCCTCAGTCACACTTCAGGTGTGGATTAACTTAGACTAAAAACTGAATTTTAAACTTACAGGAGCGGTAGAGCACAGGAATATGATCTGTGGACAGCTTGTGATCACTCCTCACTCCCATCAGCAGGGGACTTCCCCTCCTGCACAGCAACATTTTTTATGAGTCAACAACAACCAATATCTGTATTAACAACAGTTTGACAGCTTTAGTGGGAATGTACCTTGTGCCAACTGCCTCTCCAGGGTAGTGGACACTCTTGAAGACCAGGGCAAAAGCTCCCTCCTGCCCGGTGGAAGAAAAAAAAAAAAAAACATCAGACAGTCTCTTCTATCTGCTATCACTTCAGGAGAAGCATTGTGCATTCACGTGGCCTTACCAGCTGCTGGATCACCCGTTCCACCAGTGTAGAAAAATTGAGGTCGTCACTCTCCCGGTTGTCATACATGTACTTCACCAGCTTGGCGATGGACTCTGTGTCAGTCTCAGATTCAAACTCATAGCCTTTGCTCTCCTGTGGAGATGTGGAGAGAGTGAGTTAGTTCTGCCACCTGTCTGTGCTGAAAAAGACATGAAGAATAGTGATAAAAGAAATTTCCTCACCAAGAATTTCCTCAGGTCTTTGTAGTTGGTGATAATTCCATTGTGAATGACAATAAACTCTGCAGACCGAAAGATTGTCATAAACTTTAGATACCGAGATCCCTGCACCCAGGTGAAACTGACTGAGCTGTTGTGGAATACATGGTAAAATGTTGAGCTGTGTTGAGCAAGTTAGCGTTGCATCTTTAACACCACTAACCATTTGTCTTGTCAGATCTGTGTGGATGGCTGTTAACTGGGCTTGGTACGCCGTGAGTAGCCCAGCGGGTGTGAGCAATGCCAAGGTGAACATCAAACTCCACGTCCAGGTCGATATCCTGCTGTTCTAGAGGTCAAAAAAACAAAACCAAGCACAGACAATATTAAGTATCCCAACTGTACCACAGTATACAGGATGAGAAATGAACCATTCATTTGTTGCTGATTTATTCTTGTTACATGAACAACTTCATCTTAGCTTACTGTGGATCTCCTCATCCAGAGCTTTCACTTTTCCAGAGGTCTTGATCAGTTGGATAGACTTGGCGTTTGACTCCCACTCCTTCCCATTGCCACCATCAATTCCCACTCCTGACAAAAAAATTTAAAAAAAAAAGGTATTTATTACAGTCGATAAATGACAACAACAATAACAAAAAAAAGAAACTTCAAGACAGAGACTGATCCTTCAATTGTGTTTTGTTGTAGTTGCAGATTTTGTCCATGAAATGGCACTCTGCAACTTCCCTGTTGGCTATACTTGTGTTTGGAATACCACTAATTAGCTGACACAATCAGCCGTACTTTGTTTAAAGTACTTTTCTATTAAAAAAAAAAAAAAAAGGTTATTTTTAAACCTTATGTCATGTTATCTTGCTGAGGTCACACGGTATATGTCTAAAAAATCCCATATAAGCTGGGCTATAGTATCATTTTATTGTGAAGCACTTTGTGATTTTTATCTGTGAAAGGTGATATACAAATAAACTTTACTTGGTATCAACTGGTTGAAAAAGAAAAAGTGTGCTACACTTTAAGATCTGTGGGAATACAAAAGGGACTTAACATAAAGTAAATTTGCTTTATTAGGGGTGCGGTGAATCTACATAATGGTTGTTCAATAATTCGCAGCGAATATCAGTGTTGCTTTTGTTCCTCACTCATTAGAATAACTAAACAAAACATAAGTGTGACTGATAAGATCAGTCTAATGCTACACTCACTATCAGAAACTTGGTGGCATTATCAGAATGAGTGTCCTACAGGCAGAAGTGAAGGAAAGAGGCCTGAGGGATTTAAAAAAAAAACAAAAAAAAAACACACACACAGTGTACTAGTGCTACGAGCCCCCCCCAAGCCAATCTCTCACCAGCTGAGTCATAGCCTCTGTACTCTAGACGTTGCAGTCCTTTGAGGAGGATCTCAAGGATCTCACGGCGAGTTCTTGGCACATGGTAGTTGAGATAGGCAAAGATTCCTGCAGAGTAAAACAAAATGTCAAGATTCAGTTCTGGGTTCTTACTTCAAAGGTCTGCTTAGAAGTGCAACTGAAAGTGAAGGTTGACTGAAATGCCTTTCGGAGAGGTACATCCACATTGTTAGTTAGCTGACGCTCAATGCTTAATGCCGTTTGCAGCCCTGCTGCCTAGTGATTAGGGCTGGGTCATATGGCTGACATCAATATCAAAATATTACTAAGAATAGGCCTATATCTGGATATAATGAAAGAAAAAACAATAAAAAAAAAAACAATAAAAAAATCTAAATGTTCTCTAACACACAAAAATATGCTAAAATCATCAGTCACAATACAAAAAACCACCAGAAGATGATGTGTGATAATACTGAATTTCTGACCTACACTAATAACATGAACAAATCTGTCAAGGCAGCTGAAACCAAGAAGAATGTAATGCAATTCCTTAAGAAATGAGAAAGACCATTTAGTTACGTCAGCCTCTATTAGGATACTATTTAGGTTTCCACATAAAAACTCTATGGTAGGTCATGTCATAACAACAGATATTGTTTTCTGTCAGGGATGTAAGACCTGTTGAGAGTCAAAAGCCTAGAGTGTATCTATTGACCTGGTGTCTGTCAAGATAATATCTCCTGCCTAGGGAAAGGGTGGTGAAGGAAGTAACTGTCACAATAACACAAGACATCTAATATAGATTTTCACTTTTGGTCCAAGATACTTATATTCAAGTATACACAACTGCACATTAAAACTATCATGGGGAAAAAAAAAAATAAATAAAGACTTATATTTATAAAGTGTTTAGAGCGTCACTCTGTAAAATCAGACTGCCAGTTGTTTGTGTGTATTTACTAAACTGGACTCCATTGAGTAACTCACACTGACAGGAGTGTTTGCTAAAGGAAAGGCATGAAAAAGCCCTGTTACACAGCTAACCATTGACAATCAATGCAAATGTAGAGCCAGAGGGCTCCGTGGTTCAACAGAGGATTCATTCAGAAGAGCAGATGATCGAGGAAGGTAATGAG